AAAAAAAAAAAAAAAAAAAAAAAAAAAAAAAAAAAAAAAAAAAAAAAAAAAAAAAAACAGTCATCCCATAAAATAGTATAGATACAGTAATCATTATCACATTAAATTAGACTCGACAGCAATCAGTTGCCGCGATCATTCAATCAACTTGACTATATTGTGTCTGTCGCCTGTGTCAAAGAGAATCGGATCTCCAGTTGTGGAACAAAGCTCAACTATCGCAAGCTCCACGTAATACATCTGCCGTAACAATAAGTATTCAAACTTCCGAAACGCCGTGCGAAAGCTCACCCGCCCGAAGCTTGCAGTTGTTCGACTATATATATTATTATGTACACGTGTACGCGCAGGCGTCGATGTTGGGAGATTGCAAGTCACTTCGATCGGCTCCGACTGTCGCGCGCAAGTGCCACCGCCCACGCAAGCTCTGTCTTTCTCTTACTATCAGCTTCCGGGACTTGGCCGTGTGGATGTGGTGTGTGTGTGTGTGTTTTGTCTCAAGCTCACCGTCGAGTCTGTCTTTGCACGTTGACGAAGTGAGGTTAAGCGAGTGCTGGTTTTTGCTTGTTTGATAGCACACAAACAATGTTGGACAGCTTTTATTACTATGCCACGTGCAAGCTCTCTTTTGTTTGTTTACGACGACATATTGGGGTGAAGTGAAACTTGTAGGATGGCGAGGATGCCTGACAGATGACAGTAAAGCGTTAATAGAAAAGAAAAAAATAAGTTTGAATTCATACAATATGATTTGTATGAAATAGTCTTTTCGGATTATCGGCTCTTCTTCGAGGGTATATGACTTTGTAAGTACAACAAATTATTTCCTGCTTTGGTGTTTATTTGCTTGAACGGTTTCATGATTTATCACTAGACAGGGAGCTTCGTAACTTAATAAAAGTGACAGTTTTTGGATAACTTGAGGTAAACATGTGCTGAGTTATAAAATTATTAGAAAAAAATGTACTCTTATCGAAGTATCTATTTTTTATGAATGCATACTTGCATTTAATTAGGTTTAACTTTGAATTTTGAAGCTATTTGTTCATAAACGAGAATTTAGTTTTTTTAGTGGAGTATTAAATAAATTGATCTGTATCAGTAAACTTTTTTTTTTTAAATAAAATCATTAGAAAAATTACGGCGTTTCCGAGCATAAGAAAAAACTTACGATGCGTATACTGAGATGATTTTTCATTCATGATGGTTTAAGATTTAAGATCAATACATTTTTTATTTTTCAAAAGTCACATGAATTTTTATTTTAATAGCAATAATTTTTATTACGTATTAGCTAATAAAGTACTTGTAATAAGCAGCTTATTACAATACGCAACAATAATAATAAAAATAATAATAATAATAATAATAATAATAATAATAATATGTATGCGTGATAAGAAACGATTAGGCATAAATCGATAAAAAAAAGAATTTCGCAAAAAGCTCATCAAAGTTACTCTGTTTTCTCGTCTTGCACATTGATACTTTACATCAAAGATAATTCTCCAACTAAATTTAATTTTAACGTATTCTTAATAACACAGATAACGACTAAGATGAACTTCCGTTAGATATTAACTTCTACCAACTCATCATTCCAGTTCACAACTTGAATTATACATTACTCGATAGTATGATAATTCATACTGGTTATAAAAACTTTGTAGATGATAAAATTCATCAAAATCAAAAGTTTAAAGAAAAGCTTGCAAGCTCGAACGATTTATGTTAGCCTCTATAATTGTCTCGAATAAGGAATCTTCGTTGTGCATACATAGTCAATATGTTAAAGCATCATTTCAAAAATTACGTATGACTATCAAGTTTTAATCGCAGCTTGACTTTGTCGCCTAATGACATCCAAAGCACCAGACAGGAGACACGTGTTTCATAGTCAGCAGATCACCGCCAACCATCTTGTAATCTCCAGCAAAGTTTTCTCGCACAAGCCAAGAGTAAGCATCGGCAAAAAAATCGAGCCAATCTCGCTGGCGACCGGTAAAAAATCGGCAAAAAATTATCATCACGCGCATCGCGTCCGTACGCGTCTACCCCCCTCGGCCTCTTCTCGAACTTATAAAACGAGAGCCGAGGGGACGCAGCTTCCTCAGTAGTGCACGTTATTGCTGCGGCGCATCAAACTCGAAGCGAACAGCGGCTGTGACGCAGAAAAACACCAGACTTGAAAAAAAAGAGCCCGTGACACGAGAATCCATACTCAAGGATATAAAACAGATAGACTTCGACCCCTTCCAGCCGGCCACGCCGATCGCGTGTCCACATAAAAGGTGAGAGGCACGACGGGGCACACGCAATTTACCATTTCTTCGGCCACACTCGTGTGCCCTCCGGGCGAATCGCGCGAACGTGTCTGTACAACTACACGCACAAATACGTTCACATGCGCATAGGAGGGCGATCGGTAAGCGATTTGATTCTCGAGGCTTCTTAGTGTACCCGCGCTACCTTAACCGATCGGACACGGGTATACATTGGACGTGTAAAGGCTCGCGTTCTCGACCGTATTTTCGTGGTAGAAAGTTTTGTTGTTGTTTGTTTTTCTCGAGGATTCGCAGGAAGTGCGTGCAAGTGGAGCCGACAGGATGCTGAAGGGTGAGTCTGATGAAGTGCACGAGTACACGAGAGGGTCAGTTTCGCGGCTGTCGTGTCTTTTTCTTTTCCGTAGATGGCGTGAAACTTTGGTCAGACGTGCGCTCACACGTCACCGACCGTTTCTCGTTTACTGGTATAACCGCGGTTGACGTGCCGCCGTTTTGTTCGTCGACCTCGGTTAGTTCTTCCTCTGGACTTGTCCAGTTATTTTTGGAAAAATTTTAAAAGTCCAACCATGCATGTCCATACATTTTATGTTTTTGAGAGAAATTTGATTCCCGGTTTATCGAATCGGCGTTTTTGCAGGTGGTTTTTTTTATAGGGTGATTGATACACTGAGAAAAAATAACATTATGCAAATTGTTGTGCTGGAGTGCTATAAAAACAATAAAAACCACTGTACCTATATTTACTGTGAAAATTACCACATACGACAGTTAAAATTATTGTAAAAATTGTACAAAATAACACAAGAATAGCAAAAAGTTCGATTAACTTTGTAGCGCAATAGTTAATACAAATTTTATCCTAACAGAAGTATAGAAAAAGAAGCGCTTTTGCAGTTCAAAAAAATAATTACCCCTTTTTTTAGTGGAAAATGTAATTTCAGGCTAGTTTAACAAACTTCGATTCACGTGTCAAGCTGCATTTCTTTTTTTTTTTTTACGCAAGATAGAGAAAACGTGTTCATTTGGCATAACGATGGGTATAAAGTGCTACTGTTGCTTGTTTTTACGTTAAACAGAGCGCATCTCCATTTATATTCTTCACAGCTATGGATTTTCCGTTTTACGCACATAGTGTACCGAACCAGGATTTTATGAATTCTGATTGCTCCAACTGTTTTTAACATAAATTTAAAAAAAAAAAAAAAAAAAAACAGTCATCCCATAAAATAGTATAGATACAGTAATCATTATCACATTAAATTAGACTCGACAGCAATCAGTTGCCGCGATCATTCAATCAACTTGACTATATTGTGTCTGTCGCCTGTGTCAAAGAGAATCGGATCTCCAGTTGTGGAACAAAGCTCAACTATCGCAAGCTCCACGTAATACATCTGCCGTAACAATAAGTATTCAAACTTCCGAAACGCCGTGCGAAAGCTCACCCGCCCGAAGCTTGCAGTTGTTCGACTATATATATTATTATGTACACGTGTACGCGCAGGCGTCGATGTTGGGAGATTGCAAGTCACTTCGATCGGCTCCGACTGTCGCGCGCAAGTGCCACCGCCCACGCAAGCTCTGTCTTTCTCTTACTATCAGCTTCCGGGACTTGGCCGTGTGGATGTGGTGTGTGTGTGTGTGTTTTGTCTCAAGCTCACCGTCGAGTCTGTCTTTGCACGTTGACGAAGTGAGGTTAAGCGAGTGCTGGTTTTTGCTTGTTTGATAGCACACAAACAATGTTGGACAGCTTTTATTACTATGCCACGTGCAAGCTCTCTTTTGTTTGTTTACGACGACATATTGGGGTGAAGTGAAACTTGTAGGATGGCGAGGATGCCTGACAGATGACAGTAAAGCGTTAATAGAAAAGAAAAAAATAAGTTTGAATTCATACAATATGATTTGTATGAAATAGTCTTTTCGGATTATCGGCTCTTCTTCGAGGGTATATGACTTTGTAAGTACAACAAATTATTTCCTGCTTTGGTGTTTATTTGCTTGAACGGTTTCATGATTTATCACTAGACAGGGAGCTTCGTAACTTAATAAAAGTGACAGTTTTTGGATAACTTGAGGTAAACATGTGCTGAGTTATAAAATTATTAGAAAAAAATGTACTCTTATCGAAGTATCTATTTTTTATGAATGCATACTTGCATTTAATTAGGTTTAACTTTGAATTTTGAAGCTATTTGTTCATAAACGAGAATTTAGTTTTTTTAGTGGAGTATTAAATAAATTGATCTGTATCAGTAAACTTTTTTTTTTTAAATAAAATCATTAGAAAAATTACGGCGTTTCCGAGCATAAGAAAAAACTTACGATGCGTATACTGAGATGATTTTTCATTCATGATGGTTTAAGATTTAAGATCAATACATTTTTTATTTTTCAAAAGTCACATGAATTTTNAAATTAATAAACAATACAAGTCTTAAACGATAAAAAAAATAAGGTACCGATTTATTAAATTGTACCAATTAATGTTTCTTTTTACTTATCGATACTTAAACGCTGGGTTACGTGAATTTAAGTCTCCTGACTCTATTTTTTAATTTCTTTTTTGTTTCCAAGGATGCTTGTTAACTTAATTTTACAGTTGCATTATATTATACATTTAATTGTAAAAAACGTCGTAAATAAGGTATGTGCTAGTTATGTTAAAATTAATAGTTAACTATTATGCGTAAGACTAATAGTAAACTGAGAGAAATTTCATAAAAATAACTAGTTTTTTGAAAGAATCATGATTTAAAATATCCACCTCCGTAGCGATATAAAAAATTGTTTAATCAATTAAATTATAACTCGCATCATCCCAACACATTCGTAAAATACTTATTCCAAATAAATTTGTTCTGCATTTATACTGTTACTCTTAATTAATTTGTAATTTTTATCAGTATTTCACAACATCAATATGCATTTATATGGTAGACCATTATCGTTTTGCTCAATATTTTAAATAATTATGAAAACGAATAGTGCCGCACTACTGGTTTCATTTCATGTATACTTGAGCGTATACATATTACGCTTACGTGTACGCCCCATTACGATTCGAAGAATACATTAATAAAAAAATGCGACACGTACACAGATGATTGCGTATAAATATTTATATTTATTCCACTGGTCGAAATATATACTACCAAAATAAGCAGATTGCGTCTGTACTTATTATTTCCATAAGTTTTGTAATCAATGGAATGAAACAATTTTTTGTTGCTTTTTTAACTTAAAACATTAAGTCACTCAATTTGGCATTCTTTGTCTTTTAAATAAACGTTAAGTTAAAAATTTTAATATCCCATCTCGATAACGTTTGATGCAGTCTACCAACTTGTGGTTCACTCGTACGGTTTTTTGATCGTCCAACTACTTGCAACTTCTTCGAAATTTTTTTTCCCTCTAATGAACAGATGATGCTTGTAATTTCAACGTCGAAAACGTCGCTTCCACGTACGCACGTGCACACACACACACATACGCTTGTAGGCACTCTTGGCGACGACCTTGTGCACGCCATAGTGAACGCCGGTGAGCGTATCTACATCGCAAATGGCCGGTTTCTCGGGCAGCCTTTATTGATTTCAAATTTGGCTGCACGAGTGTACACTCCAAAATGGGGGATTAAATTGAACATTTTTTTATTTTATTTTTTTTTAATTTTTTT